CGCAAAAAAAATCAAAAAGTCAACAACCTATATCAAAAAATTAAAAAAAAAATTCTCTACTTTTTACATATCTTTTCGCAAAAAATTAAAAAATCATTTCAAACATATTAATTTTTTTTACATCATATTTTAACTAAAAAGTCAAAATATTACTAGAAAAACATATTCTCAGACGAGGTTGCACAAGTTTATGAGGCTCCAAATCAACCAAAATCTAAAAATGTTCGACACAAGTACAAACAAACAGAGCTAAGAACATCCATGAAGTAGTTTCAATAGACAGGCATCATCAGACATGCCAATGAAGCCACAACAACAGATTTCAACACAACAGAAGTTGGAAAGCCTCCCTTGTCGCTGCGAAGGAACATCCCTTGGTACACAGGTACATTAACCATAACCACCAGCCAACAAACAACAATTTGCATAATCAAACTCTCATCCATTTCCCAAACAATTTTCACAATTCCTCCGACTGAACCAAACAGGTTGACTATTGCCAACGTTGCCATGATGTCGAACATGACAGAGGAGCTTCCAAACTCCATCATCTCCTGCTCGTACCTCTTTGACACGCCCTCATCCACCACTTTTGCTGTGATGGCAAATGCTGTTTCAGACAATCCCAATTGGCGAATGATGGTGTCGATGAAGGCAAAAGTGAATGAGGTAGTCCTTCGAATCAGCCACATTCGCTGTAAGTTCCACCATGCTGCAAGTGTGTCTCCACATGCCAAGGACTCTGCTATGCTACAAGCATTCCTGGCTAGATATACATACGCAAATGGTAGGAGCCATAGGCTTGATACCTGAGACACATATTCAAGATTCAATAAGCCATGAAACAAAAAGCGACTTAAAATTGAAAAAAAGTTCACTGAAACAAAAATAATCCGACGTATAAGCTGCAGGCAAACGAATATCAAATTCATTCTCAGGTGTCGCCTACACCTCACCAATTTGATCAATCTACACCATACAGATCATTTTCTTCACACTTTTTTTATGGGCTTTTGTAGCTTTTCCAAACTACTATATGTAAAGAGGAGAGAGAGAGGTACCTCTGGGAATAAAGGAATAAAGAGAAGGGAGGAGGCAAATGGAAGGGATGGTAACATAATATAGAGTAGGGAAGGAATTAGGAGCAAACAAAAGATAAACACAGTACCCCATTTGGGCACCAAATTTAATCTTCCCATGTCCATAAATGAAGGGGCAGTACTTTGACAAGAAAATCTGAAAGAAGCCTTCAGTCCACCTCTTGTACTGAACAAGAGCTTGATCTAATGTGGTTGGAGCAATCCCCACAAAGGCCTTTCTGTTCTGTGGATAGTAGTACACCGGCTTCCATCCCCTGCATGCAATTTTCAATCCGGTTATGGTGTCTTCCACCAGACACCCATACACGAGTCCCATCTACAAATTTTTACACAATACTTGTCATTGTTATAGAATATAAATGTACATGTACCGCTCTACTTGTTTCGACAGAAAATGGAAAGAATATATATATATATATGTATATAAAGAGAGAGAGAGAGAGACCTCTTTTCCCCATTGAGTACCCGCCTCATAGCTACAATTTGCGAGAACTTTTGACCCTTCTTCCAATTCATAGATAGTTCTATCTTTCCTTATATCACACACACTATTCAAATCTCCTCTGTAATTTTCAGAGTAGTTCAGTCCACAAAGACTCTCTCTCCTATGGAAGCACCCAGTGCCAAGGTAAAAGGCCGCATTGAATCCATCCATGCCGGCAAACTCAATCTTCATGAGTAAGATTAAAACATTACTAACTAAAGTATAACATAACGCATTCTTTCAGTATCATTTGTGTAATTAACCCTTATTTTCAACACTAACCATATTGACTGTATTGAATGCATTTGAATAAATGTCGTTCTTGGTGATGTTGTTAAAACTCTGAGGGTATTGCACGTACGAGGTCTTGTGGCCATGCTCTTCATCCATGAAGAAGCATAGTGTCTCTTTTATTGTATCCGAATCATTGGAGTACATGTCGCAGTCCAAGTTGAGGATAATAGGCGCGTTGCTTATTTCTGATGATACTCTTATCTGCACGTTCAAAATGATTAGCTATTTAGCTAGTCTACTGGAAATGCTTTACATATAAAATGGTGAGCATGGATTAATTACCAGTGCATTCAAGGACCCGGCTTTGAAGTTATGAGGCCACTGAGGTCTCTTTTCTCTTGCTAAGTACACCAGTGTAGGCAATTGATGTCCATCGTCATCCACTGCATTCGGGTTCTTTCCATCAATCAAAATCTGAAAACAGAACAAGTTCAGTTGATAAAATTAGTAGTAGTTACATGGTGTTAAAAAGTTTTTGTGAGAGCAGTAACAATCACCTGAACAATTGATTGGTGATTCTGCTTTGTGACTTGAGAGTTCCATTCTGCAAACCCTTTGTGTTGATCCTTTACTTCTTTTGAAATACTACCCATTTCAGTGGCTCTTTCAATCCGGAATTTCATACCTTCATAAAGTTTCTTTAGAAGAAGAAAACAATCAAAGGGTTGTCTAATTTCAAACCAATGCGGAGTGGCCAAACTAGCACAATGCAAAATAAAATTTACGCAAGGTTTGTTTGGGCGAAAAATATTTTCTACGGAACTGTTACCTTAGTGGCCAACCATTCTTCTTGTGCCAATGTGGAGTCTTGGTGGTTGAAATTCTGAGAAAAGTAAGCTGCAGGGGACCTGGGTTCAACTCTAAATTTCTTGCAAAATGGAATCCAATGTTTGGAGAATTGAGAGGCCTCCATGAGAGCATAGAATGTGAATTCCGACCCACCATCGTCAGAGAGGAAAATGCTCAATTTTTCAGGTGGGTAATTGTATGACATAGCTGACAAGACCGTGTTAATCACCATTGTTGGAGGCTCTATTTTAGGATCCGCAGTACAAACGAAAATGTCAATCGCAGGTAATTTGTCCCCATACCTATACAACAACCATATCATTTATTTACAATATTCAAATATCAAAACAATAATGTCAAATTGACTACTAGAGAGAAACAGAGAAGACCTTGTTATGAGCCTGTGCTTGAAAGGGTAACGATAAGTAACGTTCAAACGAAGAGAGAGGCTGATGATCCAGTAGAAACCGAACCAGAGCTCGGCCATGAACATACCAATCCAAGCCCATCTTCCTTGTTCAGCTGCTGGGATGTGGGTTAATCTATAAACCCATATCACACATATACCAATGAATACAGTGAACCCAAATATCCTGTATGCAACTCTACTCTTCTTCCCTACTTTTGTTTCAAATAATGGAAGTCCCTCTTCTCCTCTTCCATCTCTGCCCATCTCTCTCTCTCTCTCTCTCTGCACTTTGAATTTTTTCTCTCTTTAGAAAGTGAAGATAGTTAGCAATTGTGTTCAGCAACCTGGATTTGAGGTGAGTACTGCTCCACAAGTCTTTTTTCCCAAGGGGGATAATTTTAAGATTTATACACAGGCTCGATTTGGCAATTTTTTTTGAAAAATAATTTACAAACATAATAATGTTTTTAAAATTGTAAATAAAAAATAATGGGTGTTTTGTTACTCCTTTTGATTTAGGATAAATTACACTAACACCCCTGAAATTTATATTTATTACAGTTTTCCCTCTCACGTTTGGAAAATTACACTGATCCCCCTTGTTAATTTAATTTTATGTATGATGATCATTACGGTAAGGGAGAACTGTTATGAAACTTTAAACCTCAAGGAGGGAGATATAATTTTCAAAAGGTGAGGGAGAGAACTGTAATAAATATAAATCTCAGGGGATGTCAATGTAATTTACCCTTTGATTTAACATAAAAGAACAACAAGATGTCATATTTTTCTATATAAAAAAATTTATTTGCATATCATTTTTTTTTTTGAAATTTTTTTATATTTTATGTTTTTGGCCTTTAGACTCTATTTGTTTGAGTGTAAAATATTTTTTTTTACTAATTTTTAGTGTTTGATTGGTCAAAGCTAGAGAAAAATATTTTTCAACAAGCTACGACAATTCATTTATAAATTTAATTTCCGTAAGCTAATTTACAATTTATGTTGACAACACATAGAAGGAAATGCCACTTACTCGAATACTCCTAGACAGTGGGCGTTGCAATGATTTTTTTCCCCCGACTTGTAAGTTCCTTTCCTTACCAAACATTAAAAAATAAGATGAACGGAATTATTTTACACGTTGAAAATTTTATTTCAAAAAATTTACGTCGATATAAATAGTCTCATTTTTTGTAATTTTCTTTTTTATAAAAAAATTATTTTTAGACTTTACTAAACTAGATCAGACTAAATAATAACAGGTGGGATTAGAATTGAACAAGATAATTGATGTGTGACTAAGATCTATGTTTATATATGAAATTAATCTCAATTAATAAAAAATAAATAAATAAATTTTTATGTGGGGCTATAGCACTACTCATTAGAAGAGCTCTTTTGAAAATAGTTTAAAAAATTAAAAGTTAATTTTTAATTTATTTTGAGTCATATCACATCTCATATTTTTTATATATATTTTTTTTAAAATCAAAAAAAAAAATTGACTGTTAACATCTTTTCAAAAGAGGAAGAATATTTTTTTTTTTTGTTTTTAGCCTAATAGAAGGAAAATGCACGGCGATGCAGCAACAACGTACGACTTCCGTTTGGTACAGACTAAAGTCTAAAGCACGTTCTCGTTGACTTGGAATAATGCAGCATAATACATTAGTAAGTTAAAAAAAACAAAAATTACAAATTACAAAAAAACAAAAAAAAACTTACGTATGTAATAAAATATTTTTTTATTTTGTTAATTTAAATTTTAATATTTTAATTTATTTTCAATCTAAACCATAATCTATTTCTGTTAAATAAAATCAATAAAAAAATAATATTTTAATCATTAAATTCAACGAAAATAGATATTTAAGATATTTTATGACCAAAATATTATTTTTTCGTTAATTTTACTTAACGGTAAATGAAAATGTAAATTTATAATTATTTTAAATTAAAAAGATGGTCGTTATTACAAATATGCAATGAAAAGTATCACAATCGGATCTCAATATACAGACATCATGCATGTTAAAGAAGCAACAACAATAGACTTGACCACAACTGAAAATGGAAAGCGTCCCTTATCGTTCCGGACGAAGAGAGCTTGGTACACGGGCACATTAACCACAACCACTAGCCAACACAGAACAATCTGCGGAATCAAACCTCGGACGAGACTGAATTTCACGATTCCTCCTACAAAACTGAAGAGGTTGAGCACTGCCAAGGTTGCTATGATGTCGAACATGACTGAGGAGCTCCCAAACTCTAGCATCTCTTGCTCGTACCTCTTCGACAAGTCCTCGTCGACTACTTTGGCTGTGATGGCAAATGCTGTCTGTGACAATCCTAGTTGGCGAGTGATGGTGTCGATGAAGGCAAAAGTGTATGAAGCTGTTCTTCGGATTAGCCATATTCGTTGTGAGTTGCACCATGCTTTGAGTGTGTCTCCACAGGTCAAGGACTCTGCTATGCTACAAGCATTCCTGGCTAGATATACATATGCAAATGGTAGGAACCATAGGCTTGACACCTGACATGCATACGATAAATTAAATAAATTATAATTATTAAATCGATTCAATTATATATTTATATAATTATACAAAATAAACAATTTATATTATTTAAACAGGACTGTGAGATCTCCGGACAACATCACCGGAGGAATCTGTTCGGTGGATCCCTCCTTGAATGGGTGGGCCACACCAACCAAGAGTATTTTATTTGTTTATTTTATTATAATTTCAACAATAATACATCTCCTAAACGAAGGAACTTTAATAAGCTCTAATGATATGAAAAATCAAAAAAACAACAAACAAACATTTTTTTAAAACATTTAGAGATCAACCCCATTTAGAGCTCCTAGAACTCTTTTATTAGAGTTTTAAAACATTTTTGTTATAGTTTATAAAGTTTCTCAAAAAGCTTTGTCTTGGTACTTATCGAACAACAAAAAAAGTAATGTTAGAGATCATAAAAAAAATATTATCAAAATGATCACAAAAGATTTTCTACTTTTAGATTACATATACAATAAAACACAACACACTAATCAAAAGATGAAAAATCTCTATGATGCATTTCATGATATTTTTTTCATGATTTCTAATATTATTCCAACAAGAAGAATGAAATAAGACCTTCAGGTCTAAGCTATTTTTTTTAGTACAACAGCAAAAAAAAACAGAGTGCGCAGAGGGAGAGGGGGAGAAAAATTAGGATTTTCTCTATAGTTCAAATTAAGATTGAATGGTCATTTCTTATCTGATCTTGATAAAATTTTAACATGTTGTTCATGGAATCAAACTCTACATTTTGATTGGAGTGGATCTTGTCAAAACTATCTTGAATTGATAGTTTGAGATATCCACTTTGGTGAGACCTAAACTTTATCTCTTATTGATTTTATTAAAACTCACTTTTATAGTGATGATATAATTGTTAATTAGTGATTCAAGAATATTCTCTTAATGATTGTATATCTTTAGTTGTGACTAGAGATGATATCTTATAATAGAGTTCGATCTATGGACGTAGGCATTTTTATCAAACCTTGTAAATTTAATATTTTGTGATTGTTTTTATGCCTTTAATTTTAGTTATATTATTACTTGTATTTTATAATTTATTACCCATTTTCTAATTACACAAAAAAGAAAAAATATAAAGTTTTCCTGACACAATCCTACTCCATTCAAGATATCAAGCCATCAAACTCAAAGCAAAAGTTGATCCGTAGAAGAGGCCTAAATTTGTTCGAGAAGCCTAAATAAAATGAGATCTTAATAACGTCTTCGGAAAATGGAGATTATTGACATAAGAAATTTTTAAAATTTCTTTATAGACATTTGGCGACACAAACTAATTGGCCTCGGCAAAAATGTCCATAAATCATTAATTAGCTTAACTTATAAGTTAGTTTATTAAGCTTATTTTTGTTTTTGGTAAAAAAATTCAACTTCGACTGAATTTTTTTCATTATTTATGTCTGTCTAGATTGCACAATCTTAAAAATAAAAAATAAAAAGTTCACTCTAGGTGAAAACAAAACAATTTTTGGTATTTTTTTTTTTAAAAAAACCCTTTAAAAACTTGGCTTATTTTTTATTTTTAGAGGAAATTTTCAAAATTTTAAACTTTTTACTATTATTTAATCTAGACGGACATAAAAAATAACAACATTTAACTCAAAATTAAAATTCACTAAAACAAAAATAAGTTAAATTAACTTCTTCTTTTTTTGTAAAAAATTTAAATAAAAAAAAAAGGAAGTTAAATTAAACTCTAGTCAAAGGAATAAATCATACTCCCGCCGTACGGCCACATGGTACTTTGTGGTATTATGATTTGGAGTAATATTAGAGATTATGAAAAAAATATCATTAAATACTTCATGAAAATTCTCCTCTTAAATTATACATATAATAAAATACTGCACACTAATCAAATGATGAAAAATCTTCAAAAAGCATTTCATGATCTCTAGCATTACTCTTGGTGGAAAAAGTGAGATATTACTATTTTGTACAGGGTGATTAAGGAACATAAGGAGACATGATGAATAATAATTTGTGAAAAAATATGAACACATGATACTCTGAAAATAGTTAATAATTTTTCTTCATTTTGGGTGGCCTATATTGACATGACCAATTTACATTATATCATACAAAAAATTATTAGTTGGTTATGAGCCACCGTGTGGCCATATCCCAGACTAATCACACATCTCCATATTCCTCAATTATTTAATACAAAATTATGAGTCATATCCTCTACACCAATCATAATACATGTGAAGCAGCTCGTGACGTTACGTGAATAAACTAATAACTTCTCATATCGTGATGTTTTGAAAAGTTAATAAAAATTTGACTTTTTTGTGACTTTTTGACTTTTTTATGCTAAAATAGCTTATTTTTTTGTGACTTTTTTTAACTAAAAAAACCAATGAAATCAACTTTTTACTATATACTCAAAACACCCACCATACCCTTTATTTTTCAGACACTTGCTAGTTTTTTTTTTTTTTGAACAGACATTTTTTAGTTGGCGACTTTTCCCAACAACTACATAGGTAGACAGAGAGAAGAGAGAGAGAGGTACCTCAGGGAATAAAGCAACGCCGCGAAGCAGGCAAATAGAAGGGATGGTAACATAATACAGAGTAGGGAAGGAACAAGGAGCCCACAAAAGGTAGACACAGTACCCCATTTGAGCACCAAGTTTGATCTTCCCATGACCATATATGAATGGACAGTACTTTGACAAGAAAATCTGAAACATGCCTTCAGACCACCTCTTGTGCTGAACTAGAGCTTGATCTAGTGTTGTTGGGGCAATCCCCAAAAAGGCCTTTCTGGTCTCCGGATAGTAGTATACCGGTTTCCATCCCCGACACTGGATGGTTAATCCGGTTATTATGTCTTCCACCGGACAACCATACATCAGTCCCATCTGCGTGAAAATTTTGATGTGAGTTTGATCTAAGCAGTTACATGAGGCAAGAAGTTATATAGTTTGATCTGAGCAGGTATCAGGGGTAATTTGGACAAAAATTAAAAAGCATGACCAACCTACACTAACACAAGTGTAGGCTTTTTATATAATTAGATAGATAGAGAGAAAGACCTCTTTTCCCCATTGAGTACCCTTCTCATAGCTACAATTTGCAAGAATTTTAGACCCTTGTTCCAATTCATGGACAGTTCTATCTTTCTTTGTATCACACACACTGTTCTTCAATTCTCCTCTGTAATTTTCAGAGTACTTTAGCCCACAAAGACTTTCTCGCCTATGGAAGCATCCAGTGCCACAGTACAAGGCTGCATTGTATCCATCTATGCCGGCAAGCTCAATCTTTGTGACCAAGATTAGAATATATATGTCACTCAAAGTTCATATCTAAATAATAAAAAAAATCAAAACTACTATTTTTAACACTTACCAAATTAGTTGTACTGGCAACATTCGAATAAATATCGTTCTTGGTGATGTTATTGTAACTCTGTGGGTGTTGCACGTACGAGGTCTTGTGGCCATGTTTTTCATCCATGAAGAAGCATAGAGCCTCTTTTATTGCATCTGAATCATTGGAGTACATGTCGCAGTCCAAGTTGAGGATAATAGGTGCGTTGCTTATTTCTGACGATACTCTTATCTGCACGTTCAAAATGATTAGCGATTTAGCTAGTCTGTTGGAGATGCACTATGTATAAAACGTTGAACCCGGATTAATTACCAGTGCATTCATGGACCCGGCTTTGAAGTTGTGAGGGCACTGAGGTCTCTTTTCTCTTGCCAAGTACACCAGTGTTGGCAATTGATGTCCATCATCATCCACTGCACTCGGCTTCCTACCATCAATTAAAATCTGAAAACAAAACAACACAGAACAAGCAAGAAGAGTAACAAATCTTCTGATGACAAAAAATAGTACTATTAATTACATGGTGTTTTTATGCAATAATAATCACCTGAACAATTGATTGGTGATCTTGCTTTGTCACTTGAGAGTTCCATTCTAAAAACCCTTTGTGTTGATCCTTTACTTCTTTCGAAAGCCTACCCTTTTCAGTAGCTGCTTCAATCCGGAATTTCATATCTTCATAGAGTTTCTTTAATAGAAGAAGAAGAAGAAGAAGAAAACAATCAACATATCTCGAAAATGATTCACAAACAAATTCTTTATACATGAAATTCATTTAGACTAATTTGGACTTGCATTTTAACTATTACCTTAGTGGCCAACCATTCTTCTGCTAATTTGGGATTTTGCTGGTTGAAATTCTGAGAAAAGTAAGCTGCAGGGGACCTCGGTTCGACCCTGAATTTCTTGCAGAAAGGAATCCAAAGTTTGGAGAATTGAGAGGCTTCCATCAGAGCATAGAATGTGAATTCCGACCCGCCATCGTCCGAAAGGTAAATGCTCAATTTTTCAGGTGGGTAATTATATGACATAACCGACAAGACCGTGTTAATCACCATTGTCGGAGGCTCTATTTTGGGATCCGCAGTGCAGACGAAAATGTCCACAGCTGGTAATTTGTCCCCGTACCTATAACAAACACATCATCACTGTCTTGACAATGGAAAATATGTTTTCATATGGTGTTAAGTAGTTAGTTGAAAAAGCTGGGAGGAGATTCTCCATCTTCAAATCTTTGTGTTTTAATATTTATCTAGGTTTTTCTGTTTCAATACATGTCTTGAAATTGACGTGTTGTGAAATTTTCGCACGATCTAATAGTTAAGAGTACATTAAAACAAACACAAAATTAAAAACAGAAAATCTGAACAAATTAACACATGAATGGAGCCATAGATAGGAATCAAGCAGTACTGATTACTGAACTTAAACTAACTCAAAACTCCAATAAGAATCATAACCCAGATTCAAACATAAACGAGAGAGAGAGAGAAGACCTGGTTATGAGCCTGTGCTTGAAAGGGTAACGATAAGTAACGTTCAAGCGAACAGAGAGAGTGATGATCCAGTAGAAACCAAACCAGAGCTCGGCCATGAACATACCAATCCAAGCCCATCTTCCTTGTTCAGCTGTTGGGATGTGGGTTAATCTATAAACCCATATCATACATATTCCTATGAATACAGTGATCCCAAATATCCTGTATGCAACTCTACTCTTCTTCCCTACTCTTGTTTCAAATAATGGAAGACCATCTTCTTCTCCCTCTCCTGCTCTGCCCATCTCTGTTTCTCTCTCTCTCTCTCTCTTTCTCTCTAAAAAACATTTATACTCAAAGTCAAAGTGATTCTATCTTTAAATGAAAGAGATCAGCATAGCTCTCCTGCTCTGCCCGTCTCTGTCTGTTTCTGTATCTGTCTCTCTCTATAAAAAGACGTATTCTCAAAATGATTCTATCTTCAAATGAAAGAGATCAGTATAGAAGAACTTTCAATAGTAATGTTTAGGGCTAGACTTATAAATATATACAAATTTGGCTCTTTCACTCTATTTTCCTTTTTAATAATATTGTTATGGAGTCTGAAAAAATTATGTAAAAATGGAGTGGGTAAACCAAATTTATTTTGAGTGCGACTCATCATAATATAATAAATTTGTGAAATTATAATTATTGTATCAAAAAAAATTTATTGAATGAATTACACATATAATAAAAAGATAGATAATTTTGATCATTGTATAAACTAGTAATAAACTCTATTTAATATAATTATAAAATATAATTGTTAAATTTATTTTATATTGTAAGAGACATGTATATGTATATATTGCACTAATATGTTTATTGAATATAATTATTTATATTGTTGATGTTTGGAAGAAAGTAAAATGAATTTAATAACTAACTAATATATTAACGAAGTTTTAACTATGGAACATGGTGGTGTGGTGGCTTGTGCGCTGGGAAAAAAACCACTATGCATGTGGTCTTGTGCTGGAGAGGGCTTCTGAGTGATTATTTAGTAGTTTAAGAATATGAGTATGTAATATTTTATGATAGTATAATTAGTGAAAAAGGTAAAATATTGATTATTTGTGTTGAATAATTAAGATATATGAGAAGGAATAATTTTTCCTTTCTAATAGCATTTTCAAGGGTTTGTACAAAAATTAATATGCTAAAGTTTGTTATATATATATGATAACAAGTGACAAAATTGGAAATTAATTTTGTGTATTAAATATTTATTAATTTAAAAAATAAATGGGTGTTCTAGTAATGTATTTTTTAAAGTTTGTCTTATGTAAAAGTGTAATACACTTAAATGTTTGTTTATAAATAATAAAATAATTTTTTTAAAAAAATAACTATGAGTTCAGTTTTAGCCTCCTCTCTTTGTGTTAACACTAGTTAACAAGGGCTCTTAAAGGAGTTAATTAAAAATGCCCTAAGAGATGATTTTTTTCTAAGCTTGGCTTGGATGTGGCAACCCTCGCCCGTTCAGAGTGCCTTCGTCAGTTTCTTGAATCGGGTATTAGTTTAATGGTGATTTTTGCTTCTATTTTTTTTTTAGTTGTACGATAAATTGGACAACTAAAATTCCACGCCCACCATTAATCCAAATTATGAAATCAAATTATTATTCATATGAGTTAAACTAACAATCTTACATTACAAAATGGTGCTACATAATTAATAAATCTAAAATTCTAATTCAATCATATTTTGTTGGTACTATAAAATTATTTTGATTTTCATAGATTTAATAATTTATTCATACCGAAATCTAAACCAATCCATAATTTATTTAATATTTTTTCGTAGATTTGACAATTTTTAATTCCATGAATTATTTAATTTTTCATTTGGCATGAGTGAACCGGTCAAAGGTCAATTTGATTTTAAAAAAACATGGGTTTTGGTGTGCAATGCCTAATTTATTTAATTCCGTGAATTGCTAGTAGTTTGTTTTTTTATTTTTTATTTTTTGTTTTTTAGTTTGATGCATGTTAATTTGTCCCTTGCAATAATAGAACCTTTTTTGTTTTTTTTTAGCTGGACATATAGAACTTGGTTCCGACCCTTTGGCAGCTTTGCAAAACGAGGTCAACCTAATGAAAAATTATTCGGTGTTTATGGGGCATTATGTGACAAATGTCGCAAAATAATTAAGGCATGTTTTAGAATTGATCTTCTTTATTCTAAGAATGAATACATCCATCGGAACAGTTGAGTTTGATCAATTATAATAATGTATTGGTCGGTGTTCAATGCTTATTGGTGCTCCTTTTTAATGGGATGATCAAATTGAAACAATAAAAATTAAGATAAAATTTGAGTTAAATTATAAAAATTAAAAATATAACTTATCCTTAATTAATTAATAGAAAATATAACTGTGTGTTGATGCAAAACCAAACAATTTTCAAGTAGGAAAATATTTTTATATATCTAAAAATTTCTTCTAATATGATTTACAATAATATAGTATGTTACATGTTAATTTTTAATTTTTAATAAATTTTATAATTTTTTGACTTAATAAAAATATTAAATTGCCAGTTGGACCATGCTAATAATATATATGATGACTAAATTAAGCACGCTCCAAAATTTTAGCCTGAGAGAGAAAAAAATTAATCACTTTGCTTGGTTAGAGTTTTTCAAAAAAATTTACTTTTTTGTTTTCCATATATTTTTGTTTTTACTGAATATTTTTAATATTTTAAACAATTTTTTTAATTTTTAGATATACCTAACATAAATATACCTAAAAAGTAAAAAAATTGTGAAAAAACTTTTTAAAAATTCACTAAATACCAAAAATATAAAAAAAAAAATACTAGAATTCGGTATATTTTTTGTATTTTTATATATTTATTAATTTTTTACAAATTTTTTATCTTTTAGATACATCTAAGTAAGGTGTATCCAAAAAAATAAAAAAAATGTTTAAAATTTTAAAAATATTCACTAAAAATAAAAAAAAATACGAAAACTAAAAACTCAATTTTTAAAAAATTTAATTCAAAAAATTCAAACCAAACATACTGAATGATTTTTTAACTTTTGATAAAACGTTAAAGTGATTATAAATAATTTATTAATATATTTGAACCTTTTTTAATAAATTTACTTTTGAGAGAACCTTTTTTTACTTAGGCCTCGTTTGGGATCAGACTATTTTAGTAATTTTTGGATTTTTAACTAAAATATCAGGTAAAAAAACTAGTATGTTTGGGGTGATTTTTTAATTTTTTACGAAAAGATGTGCAAAAGGTAAATAAAAAATAGAATCTTTAACTTTTTATATAGGTTATAAGTTTTTTAATTTTTTTAATAAATTTTAATTTTTAAACTAAAATAATTATTTGTCAAACGAGACGTTAATAAAAAAATTAAGTTGCCACTTGGATCATGCTCTCATTATTTTACCTAAGTTTTCATCTACAATTAATAATATCATATAAATATTTTTAAAAAAATTAAAAGTAATTTTAACTTCAGTTTGCAAGACGCTGATAGGTAGAGAGAGTTGATAGGTGGAAAAAGACGTATGTGGAGAAAGTTGAACCCGGCCAAAGCCTTTAATCCAAGTGTAGCTGATAGAGAGAGTTGATAGGTGGAAAAAGACGTATGTGAAGAAAGTTGAACCCAGCCAAAGACTTTAATCCAAGTGTAGCTGACATCATGTAAGTTATAATTATAAGATAAGATAAGAAAGAAAGAAAGAAAGAAAGAAAGAAAATATATTAAACTATCAAGTCGTGGTCCAAATAAGGGAAATGTTTGGACCTCATTTTGAAAGTGATTTTGGGGCCAATGGGTTACTGGATTTTGCAGAAACATAGGAACTGCTTCAAGTCTAGAAGCCGAATTTTGGGCACTCCGTGATGGCCTAAATTTGGCGTTCGATAAAGGTTACAGAAACATTGAAGTGGAAATCGACTCTTTGCTTGTCAAACAACTCATCATGGGTAGTAAAAATGCTAACCATCACCTGAGTAATTTAATCCATGACTGCAGGTTCCTGTTACAGCAGCTGGGAGTCCAAGTGATTAATCATATCTACCGCGAAGGAAACAGCTGCGCGGATATTCTAGCAAATCAAGCCTCTCCCACAACTGATACCTTACATATTTTTGATTTTGCTCCACCATGTATTGCTAATCAATTGTATGATGATGCTCGCGGGATTAGTTATCCCAGAACTTTGTACTGTCCTACTTAATTTATTTTAGTTCCTGTTTACCAAAAAAAAAAAGAAATTTATATTATAAATTATTTACATTTATAAGGATTTTATGAAGATTTTGCGAGAGATGGAGTTTCAATCATTGCTCTCTAATTAATTAGAAAAATACTTAAAATTCCTATTTTTTTTGTAATTACTACAACTCTTAATTAATTTGTGGCCCCTCTTTTTTTTTTTTTTTTTTTGGCCTCTCTTCTCCTTCTCTCTTCACCAAATAACTGTGGAGAGTGTGGGGCCTGGAGCATAACCAATGTAGCTTTCAACCTTATTGCTTGTTTTGAGTTTTGACTTTTTTGTGAGCTTAAAATTTTTAAAATATTCACTAAAAATAAAAAATACGAAAACTAAAAATTCAATTTTTAAAAAATTTAATTTAAAAAATTCAAACCAAACATAGTGAATAATTTTTTAACTTTTGATAAAACGTTAAAGTGATTATAAATAATTTATTAATATATTTGAACCTTAATTTATTAAGCCTGTGTTTGGCAAGTGGGTTTGTAGGTTTTTTTAGCTATTTTAGCCACAAAAAACAAAATAGGCTATTTTAGCCATAACAAACAAAACATCACATCCAACCTATAATCATTATATTCTTCTCTCACAAAAAAACTCAAAAAAGCCAAAAAGCCTTTCCCAAACCAAGCTTTTAAGTCCAGGCTAAAATAACCAAAAAAATCAAAAAGCCAAAAAGCCAACCCACTTCCCAAACGTAATTTACTTGTGAGAGAACCTTTTTTGACTTAGGCTTCGTTTGGGATCAGACTATTTTAGTAATTTTTAGATTTTTGGCAAAAATATCAGGTAAAAAAACTAGTATGTTTGGGGGTAATTTTTTGATTTTTTACGAAAAGATGTGCAAAAGATAAAGAAAAAATAGAATCTTTAACTTTTTATATATGTTATAAATTTTTTAATTTTTTTAGTAACATTTTAACTTTTAAACTAAAATAACTACTTACCAAACGAGGCGTTAATAAAAAAATTAAGTTGCCACTTGGATCATGCTCTCAATAATATCATATAAATATTTAAAAAAAATTAAAAG